GCAGGAAAAATATCTTTTTGGAAAGGAACACAAATGTTTGCTCTGGACAAAAGGAGCCAAAGATCTGACCTAGTTCTCCACTGTCTTTTAGACTATATGCGTAATACCAGTTCAGTGGCTATTTTTACCTCAATTCACTTGATACAACTTTTCATCTGGTATCAGCTTTGTTATATTTATTTAGAATTGTTTTACTTTAATACGGACAGTTACTAGCTTAGCCTTTGGGACAATTTCAGCCTGTTCCTGCAAAAGGTCATGACAGTGATTTCATTAAAGCACAGCAGTGGTGTGTCAAACCTATGACATTTGTATAAGTAAACTCCAATGATAAAATCCTGAACCTTTCTGTTTTAGGGCTGTGATTTTCCCAAACGAACAAAGTTACATTATTCCGAGTGAGCAAAATTAAATTATTCAAACGACAGCAATTCATTTTCATATCTCCGAGGATGCCCATTTGAGCGTTTCAGGAACCTTCACTTGACATTCAATGTATGGGTCCCTACAGAGATAGGTACTGAGCATGATATGTTACGGAACAAGCACAAAATATGCTAGTTGACATGTTCATCCCATACTCTCTGAATGAATTTACCTTTCCTTTGCTAGTACCAGTCAAGGACTGTCCCAAAAATAAGCTGGTTAGAAAGTTTTTTAAAATTTATTTATTAATTTAATTTAACAGCTTTTGGTGTTAGCAAGTGGTAGGCTAAGTGCACCCTCAATAAGTGATGTTGATGATAGCTGGTGTTACCCCCTACTGCACATATACCTTGTAGGGATGTTTGTAGGTACTTCCAGGACTGTTTCATCTCTAGGACTTCAGTAAAGCAACATGTGTCTGGCATTTAATCTGCTTTGAATTTGTCTAATGCAGCAGTCCAAGACATATTGCAAATATGTCTTTTTTTTGCCTTCACTGACTATGTAAGGAGACCAGCTGTCAGCCTCCTTAACTGATGCCTGATGCTAGAGTGAAAACCTCACAGTGAGTAAAATTCTACAATTGTTTTCAGTAAGATCATGGCTTCAAACTTTCTGTTTTCCAGGAGAATCCCAGGAGTGTCACAATAAAAACTTCAGGAAAAACAGAATGTCACTGTTTTTTTTCTTTCTAGTCCAAGCTATAATTTGTCTCCATTCTATTTGTATTAATTTATAGGTGTGTGGGGAGATGGATGGGAAGAAATTTAGTTACTGTTTCAAGTCCTAATATTTATATCTTATGACAAGTTCTGAACTTCATGAAATAGCATTGTATTTCTGTCCTCTGACAACTTGCTGCATTGGAATTTATTTTTCTCCTTAATTTTTTGAAGCAATAATAAAATAATTCTTTTGTACCAAAGTTTTCTTTATTAACTCTCGTTTCAAAAAGCCATTCTAGTTATGTCTACCATGCTAAACTTTGTAAGATGAGCTGCCTGGTGCAGGCAGGAAATTTAGTGTGAACTGAGGGAAATTTCTGGTCTGATTTTCCCATTACCAGTCCCAGTACATGTGTTACATGTACACAACTGTTCTCTGTGAACATCAGAGATACTACGCTGATACCAGTCAAGAGATCTACCACGCAGCTGTGAGAGGAACGGTTTACTTGCAAATATCTAGTAAATATGTTTTATATGTGTTTAAATCCCTGCAGTTAACATTGTTATTCCTGTAAATATGTGAAGTTAGAGCTAACAGCCTGTTTCTTTATCGTTAAGCAAATCTTTACAATCTCGTGTTCTCTCCATGAACTATAGAGGGAGCCCAGAAGGCTGCATGCCAGGGAGCTTGCTGGAATAACGTGAAATTAATCTCACACTAAACTTCTCCGTATAGAGAAACAGCAGGGAATAGCCATTGCTGATTAATTAATTTAATTGAACGACTTGTATATTAGCAAACAGGAAAAAATACTTATTTATATCCCAAGAAACGGGTTTATCTGCCCTGGACATGCAAGTGGTCACATTAAAATAATGAAGAAAAGTGCCCTACTGACATGAAATGCTTCAGTGTTCATGGATGTAGCCTAGTTGTTGTTATTCTCAATGTTAGAATAAAATATTGACCCCAAAATATTGCATTTCAGTTCATACAGGGAGACCTGCATCTCTGGTCTCCTAGGTTGTGTCTCCTCTTCTTTAGCCCATCATCCTATCAGCATGTGCCAAGTCTGTTTTCCACCCTCTTTCATATTTTTCCCATGCTTTCCTCCGCAAAACTCTCTTTTTATCCCAGTTCTTAAAGCCCACTCCTTATTATTCACTTCTACAGTGCCCTCAAGTTGTACATTAAACATGCAATCCCATCGCCAGAGGCTTTCCCC